TATCTCAAAACGTTTTGATACTTTTAACTGGTCAGCGAATTAAAGACTGATGACGTGGACATACAATTGTGTCATTACAACCACGATTTGCACAAAGATCAGAAAATGACAAAACGATAATTTTTACAAACAAATACATTAGTACTGTCGCTGTCCAATTGCTGAGTTATTGAAAATCAGCTGTCTTTGCTCTTCCGTCTGTTTGCAAGCCCTGAGGAAAACGATAAGACTGGCCGCCTTCAACCGACTCCATGATCTTGAATGCTTAGGAATTGTTTGTATCAACTTTACATGCAAGTTGTGTTTGAAGTTGACTGGTAGGAGTTTTGAAAGACGGCAGTGTTTAGTCATTCATTCCTCAATAATGCGTGATTTAAACAAAATTCGCACCTAGGTTCAACAATGATTTAGCATAGCGATGACCATGAAGAAAAACATAATCAAATTGAACTCAGGAACGAGGAGGAAATTGAGATCCGTTAGAATTTTATATGCTTTCCGTTTGTGTTTGTTAGTTGGACTTTCAGAATGGGTCATAGATCAACAGAAACGACGTCGTGGTGATTGCTTCTGTGGTTATTAATGAAAGAGCCGCCGCCGGTCAGCTTGCAATTGCCATGCTGAATTTGCCAACATTTTCAAGACATCTGCAGAAAGGAACATAAATTTGTACAGTCTTTGGAATGCTGATCTACCTCACAATTTCATGATTCCAACACCTTTTCTCAGGCCATCAATCAGCAGTGCAACAATTTAATTCTAGAATTTATCTACAGTGAAGTAACCCCAACTGAGTGGATTAATTACCTTCTTTACCACGTAGTAGTCAGATATGAATTATTGATGAATGAAATTCGGTACCGGATTCCAGGAACTTTCGATTGCAATTCAAAAATTTGCGAGTGACTTACCAGAACAAGAGACATGTCTGACTCCTGAAATAACCAGAAAAAATTTCTACCCACCGCATTGGTATTATTTCTACGCCCTGACACTGCCCGATGCTCCCCAGCCCTTCACCTTTGTTTTTCTGATTCACGGATGTACCCCCCCCCCAGACCTCTAGTCACCTTTACTTTGTCGGCAAGGTTCTAACTGACGGTTAGAAAGGTTGATTTGTCCTATGCACTAATTTAATAGAACTGCTTAAACACTATTTCTATGTAGTCTTGTAGGAAACTTATGGTCAAAGCAGTCTTGCAGCGTTGGCTTCATTTCACATTCAAAACCCATAGCTGTCAGTGCACTTTTTAGTCTACTTTATAGAAAAATAACTGCTGCTGCACATGTTAAGTTATCAAGTGGAATTAGAGAAAGATTTCTCTAAAAGGAGCTGATTTTTTGAAATTCCACTCTCATTTGTAATAATGGCGGAACAAGCACATAGCATGAATTTTAGGCAAGCGGAGACCTCCATGATCATTACTCAATTTGGCCAAAATTCTAGAACAAAATAAATCATAATAACTCATTTCATTACTCCTCAAATGAAGCTGTTCACTTGGCCTCATTCATTAACAAACTCTCTTCACATGAAATAACTATTAAGCACTTTTTTACTTTTTTCTACACCATGCTTCCAACGAAAATTCATCATCGAGTAAAGGGGGCAGTCAGCTAAACCAAGTTTGACCTACTTAACATGCGGTTAACCAGCGGAGATACAAGATTTCACCAGTTAATGCATAGTTAACCATTTAATAAGAAAACGTTTATATTGGTTAAACAAAGTAAGCATGAACTGTAATTTATATTCCCTCAGATGTTTTCTCTTCATGACACATATTTTACTGCAAATTCTATTAGTACAATTCAGTAGCCTGTGCCTTGTATAAAATACGTCAAAAATCGTTAATCAAAAGAGGGTCCCTTGACTGCAGTGCAGGTGAAAACATTCGGCGTTGCCAGACTGGTAATACGTTTAACCTACTAAACACATACACCTGCAGCTTGCCTGCTGAACAGTAATGCGCTGACCATTAGCAACCTCTGTGATTTGCATAGTAGGTAAATAACGGAACGCTAGGAAAAATATGTTGTTGAAGGTAAAATAATATGCAACTCATAAATATCAAGAATTAAATTAAATTGTGCTGTATTCCACAATGCTAATGACCTGCCTCTACGAGGATGTGAACGATTCACTGCTTGTTACACTCTGATGACACCGATAGTCATAGCGGCCTGATATTGCTCGTAATCTTGCTGCCCCGCTTTGCACAAGCTTTCCACATAATATATGATTATTATAGGTGTCAGGAGTAAGCTTAAAAGGCAAATACCTAATTGGAATTTTTCCTTTCACAGTTGTATATAGCTTTCAGTGACTACAGCAAGTTCAAGTTATGCGTTATTAATTATTGCCTCTATCTAAAATAGATGTTTTCGACCATAATGACTGCAACGACAATTCGACATTTGTTCGACGTTCTGTATTCATTGTTTATGCCTGCTGCGTACCAACTTTAAAGTCCAATCAAAATGCCAATGCTTGGCATACGACTTTACGAATTAGTGATTGAGTAGCTGAAATCAAGCCATATTGTACTGTCATGTCTTGTTCCACCACACCTTATTCTGCACAGTTAAAGTTCTACCATAAAATGGCAGCTGTTGCAGACGCAGACACCTCTGTTTTGTTTTGATGTTGCCGTCAATGTTTATTTTCTTTTTGCAGCGTAGGAGTTATCATCAGAATGAGACATTTCACGGCAAGTTTTTTCTTAGATTATCAGTCACGTGAGAAGGGGACTACGTTAAGGCAAGATTTTCAATAAACAGGGTTGATTAGGATTTGTAGGGATGATGCACAGCGATCGCGGTTCATTATGACAATGCAGTAAATTGTTGTTATTCTGTTCTACTGAATGAATCAAGGCCCCGTATGTTTGATGCAACGTCAATGCTTTGCCTACCTGCATGAATGTCTCTATATTTTGATAACGACTGCTAGTTTGAAGGTCTCAGAGCTGCAGGAGTCTCAAACTGTCATCTGTAGCATGATATCATATATTGAGTTATCTTGATGTTTATGCCTCATAAAAGATCATGCCACGCAACTGTCAATATCAGGGAAACCACCTTGCGCATCTGTTGATCTCTTTTTTTAAGGTTTCCATAAAACAGGGGTTATAAGTCGCACATATCTTTAAATCACATCGTTTTGACTTCAACATGTAAAGAATATTCAGAAATATGACGTACGCCAGATAACTCCTAGCTAGAGAAGTATCGAGTAGCGCAACGAGCTAGCTTAACATATAGCTACAAATGATGCGTATATCAGAAAGAATGCTGAAGGAGCTTAAGCGTTAATTAATTTTAAGAAATAATTTATTTTAGCATTTTTGTAAATGGGGTAGAGTGATTGGCAACTGTTGAGTCTGGAG